TATATATCAATACACATCTGCACAAGGACTAGTGATATTAAACGATAATACTGCACAAGTAATGCCTAAGTGTATATATTTATCAATACATGCCCACAGGAGGATTGGCGATATAAAAATGTGCATATCTTGCTTATTGTGTAGGAAATATGGTCGACAATCCTGGCAAAATCTGTCACCTCGCCGCAAGTACATCATAATAGATAGACAGATTTATACATACTAGGAAGATCTATAGTGGCTCGTTTATAGTACCGAATCGGAATGAAATGGCAAACATAAAATCAGCGCCAGCACAACACACACTTATCTCATACTATCGGACAAAAAATAAGAGACTCCATAGTGTAAACTTTTGCCCATGCCGACTCATTAGCATCGCATGCATAAGGTCGTGCATACAGCATACATAGTACACACCACATAACACATACACAATCACCCACGCACATCCACTCACGTGTGTATCACATTCGAGCCCCACATAAACACCCGCTCACACTGTGTGCAACTACTACAGGCAAACAAGCACGGGTACATACATCACCATACCTCACAGCGGCGCGATAGCTCCAGTCACCGAAGTTCGGAATTGCCATGAGCTGATTGGCCAAGATGCTGCACATGTGCACAAAGGGTCCCTCTTTGCCCACACTCAGACCACTCGCCACCACACACACCAGCCCCACCATCTTCGAAAAGAACGTGCGCCACGACAGGTACTTCATCAGCTCAGCGCCTGCCAGTATATTGTGAATGCGAAGGTTAGTCGGAATGGATGTTGGGTTTTAGTTTATCTTTCTTGTAGTGCAAGAACTTCATGCGATTGCATGGCTTGGGGGTGGGGGGTTGATTTCGGTATAACTAATTGAACGTGTTCACAGCGCCGTACCGCAACGGGCATTACATTGAAGAGGTGCGTGCCAGTCAGCACACAAGGCTCTCGAGCCCAGGATTCATAAATCCCAAAACGTATGCAGAACGCATACAACGAGAGACATACCCGCAATGATAGTCTTCATCTCCGGAATACCACTGCCTCTGGCCTGGGGTGCACCGTGTTCCACCACAATCGCCGCTGTGAGGGCAAACGCCACACACCAGATGGTCCAGATCAGAAACTGGCACGGCCGTTGGTTCGTATTTAGAGAGGGTTGTTAGTGAGACACGCAGGAAGTAGCAGGGACAAGCAAGGCGAGGAGACTGTTGTGTCGTGTTAAGGCTGCGTTGAGAATGGATAGCTGCAGACTCTGTTCAGACAGTCAAATCTGTCGGTCAATCGGTAGGCTTGGTACCATTCTACTTTTGACGTGCTTGCATGCGTATCCGCTACTGCCAGTGTATAATAGTGTACCGGCCGTATTAAGATACCTATACTGCCCTCGAGCTTAGAACCCCTACTACCCTACTTGCTCCATGGTGAATTTTATGCGTTGCCAATTGGCCTTGTAAGGATATCGGCTAGTATGACTACAACATATCTGTGCTTGCAGATATAAACGATGGTGTATACATATTTGCATGCATAGTGTGCGTGTGTATTGTAAGTCAACCGAGCTTCTTGGTGTGCACGTTGGTTAGAATAATAAACATATATCCGTTTTGCACATATAATCACGCCATGCAGAAAGGCCACAAGAGCGCACTTTCCACTTATCTGGGATTGCGCCTTTCGTGCAGCAGTCTTGTCAGTGCCATCAATACGTCCACAAGCCAGAGTATCAAACAAATTGGAACTATGTATACCTAAAAACATACACATGTACAAGAAAGTGTGCAGGTAAAAGTCTCACAGGTAAACAGGTATACACACTCACCTGAATGCCCAGACTATCCGACAACTGATACAGAGCCGTGCGCCCTTGCCATAGCCAATCGATGATGTGGTCTTGCAGTAGGGCCACCAACGAACCTACTATCCCCAACAAGCACAAGAAGGTGTACTGATTTAAGGGTATACGGCCCCCTTTTCGGGTCATTTTGTTTACAATTGTCTTGTGGCGTTCCTGTGCTCGTTTCTGCTTCACAAGCTCTGTCTACACAATTCATTGGGAAGGGTTTCAATGTCTGAAGCAGATGCACAAGTAAAAAAGTCTCAATCTGTATACAGGTGAAGGTACTGCGCCATATGTGCACGTGCATCGAGGTGAGCATGTGCTCAG